GCCGCCTGCTCTCCTTGTCGCCGACACTCGGCGGTTTCTCCATGGAGCTGAGGATAGAGCCCAGTAGGTCCGCCATTTTGGACCGCAGCGGAAGTGGCTCCGGTCAATAAGTCCCGCCTCCTCTTACGGTGGGGGAGAGGTACCTTAAAGGGGCGGTCCCCGCGCCCCGGAATTCCCCTCCTACAGTGTGGCTCAGTCGGATTGTCACTGGGCTCGAAGCCAGAGGCTGGTCATAATTGTAGGTTCGATCCCCACTCTCCCCGTCCTCTCATTCCCAATACATACACTAAACCCAGCAACTGCTGGGGATCCGAAACAAACAGTCATAGAGCATGGAAACAGACCCTTCGGCCCAAACAGTCCATGCTAACCATAATCCCAAACTAAACTAGTCCCCACATGGAGGTGCTGGTGTGGGACTGAGGTGTACAGGGTCAGAAATCACACAACACCAGGTTATGGCCCAACAGGTTTATTTGAAAATACAAGCTTTTGGAGCCTCATTCTTTCAGATGTTAGTGAGAGAGGACACATCAGACACAGAATTTATAAGTAAACGATCAAAGAGTCACACCAATGATGAGGCCCCACCTACCTGCTCCCGGCCAACATTCCTCCAAACCTTGCCTATTCACACATACTTATCCAAATGTCTTTTAAACATTGTAACTGTACCCACATCCATCACTTCCTCAGGAAGTTCATTCCACACACAAACCACCCGCTGTGTAAAAAAATTTCCCCTTATGTCTTTTTTAAATCTCTCTCCTCTCACCTTAAAAATGTGTCCCAAGTTTTGAAATCCCCTATCCTAGGGAAAAGACACCCACCCTTAACCTTTTCTATGGCCCTCATTATTTTATAAACCTCTAATCAGGTCACCCCTCAACCTCCTATGATCCAGTGAAAAAAATCCCAGCCTTTCTTTATAACTCAAACATTCCATACCCAGCAACATCCTGGTAAATCTCTTCTGAATCCTCTCAAGATTAATCATATCCTTCCTACAACTGGATGACCAGAAGTGTACACAGTATTCCAGAAGAGGCCTCACCAATGTCCTGTACAACCTCAACATAAAGACCCAACTCCTATACTCAAAGGACTGAGCAACGAAGGCAAGCGTGTTAAACACCTTCATAACCAACCTGTCTACATGTGACATAAACTTCAAAGAATTATGTACCTGCACCCCTAGTTTCCACTGTTCAGAAATTAAATTGAAAGAAAAGAACTGCTTAAAACAGAAAGTACACTAATATAGAGAACTGCTGGGAATCTGAAACAAAAAAAATGAAATCAAAACAGAGAGCTGGAGATTCGAAACAAAGAAGAAACAGAAAGTGCAAGTGGAACTCAGCAGCTTTGGCAGCATCTGTGGGGAGAGAAAAACAGAGTTAACGTTTCAAGTCCAGTCACTTCTTGTCAGAATGCGCCCTCACTCCTTCACCAGACTTGAAACGTTAACTCTGTCTCTCTCTCCAGACCTGGTGAGTTTCTCCAGCACTTTCTGTGATTTTTGTTCTTGTTGCCCTCTTGATGAGGCTCTGAGACGTGGACTGTCTACAGCTGACACCTCAAGGCGTTGGAGCTGTACCAACCAATGCTGCCTGTGCAAGATCCTACAAATCCGCTGGGAAAAGAGATGCACCAATGGCAGTGTCCCCGACCAGGCCAACATCCCCAGCATCGAGGCAATGACTACCCTTCATCAGCTGCGATAGGCTGGGTACGTCCTCCGCATGACTGACAGGAGACTCCCCAAAGCAGGTGCTCTACTCCCAGCTTCGAAATGGCAGGTGAGCCTCAGGTGAGCAGAGGACGCGCTTCAGTGATACCCTCAAGGTCTCACTGGCAAAGTGTGGCATTCTCACAGATATCTGGGAATCACTGGCCCAAGACCGTTCAAAGTGGAGGAGGCGTTGAGCACCTCAAGACTTCACATCAGGAAAAAATGGAAGCCAGGCGAAAACAGTGAAAGCAGCGCGCTGCCACACCATCACCCCACCCACCCCTTCCCATGACCACCACCTGCCCTGAGTGTAACAGAGCCTGTGGTAGCCAGTCTGTACAGCCACCTACCGACTCACCCTGAGAGTGTGGAAGAGAGTCATCCTCATCTGTGAGGGACCACCAACAACGATGATAGGCAGTCAATCATTTGTCAGCAGTTTTATGGTAGTTTTTTGAGTTTGTCAAGAGCAGTAGCTTGGAGATGATACATTTGTTGATTAGATAAAGAAAGTATATGACCGTGGCAGAGAGAATGCTTCACCAATCCTGGAGCTGTGCTCTAAAATGGAGGATGGCTAGAAATATAGAAACATAAAAGATAGGAGCAGGAGG